AAGGAATGTGGCTAAAAAGGTTGTTGCAAGAACTTAAAGTTAAGGCAGAAGGTCCTATCGACATGAGGTGTGATAGTCAATCAGCTACAGCCATAGCAAAGAACCCAGTCCATCATGATCGGACCAAGCATGTTGAGATAGATCGTCACTTTATCAGTGAGAAGATTGAAGGAAAAATAATCTCACTCAACTACGTTCCTACACGGCATCAAACCGCAGACATCCTAACAAAGGCACTCCACTGCACTAACTTCCAAGAACTATGTTCCAAGCTAGGCATGTTGAGTTTATACAGCCCAGCTTGAGGGGGAGTGTAGAAAATCTTCTAGAAGTTAGTTGTATTTTTATCATTAAAGTAGCCGTGTAAAGTAGATCTGATTCTTAGGCATATTCTTTTCCTAGTTTTCAGGGATCTTAACAACCTAAGATCTCTTTTCTGTGTATGTAAATATTCGGTCAGTAAATGAGAAAATTACTTCTTCTCTTCCAAAATATTCTACAAGCCTATCTACATTCCTCCTAGAATCCCTCTTTGACCGTTGGGATGACAGCCTATCTACATTCCTTATATAGTACAAATTGACTACTATTATTTTAGGAATCTTCCAACAAGAGTTAACCACAACAATAGAAAAACCATCAACATCACCTCCTTTCTTTTGCACCATTGCATAATAATTTCGATTGATTTTTTTTCTTGTTGTGTGCTTTGTAACTTGGTTTATTTTTCTCATTATTTAATATACTCTCTAATTTCGGCATTTTTCTTTTCCTCAATACTTTTCTTTAAACCCTTCTTTTTCACCATGACTGTTAAAGAACTTGAAAGTCTGTCTGGTCAACTGGCTTACCATCAAACCAAAACTGAGGAAAACCAACAAACAACAAACTTCCAACCTTACCCATCTTACCGTTCTTATTGACAACCTCTCCACTACAGTCAACAGCCTCTCCACTAAAGTAGACAATCTCACTAAGTACATAACCAAACACGAACCCTAGAAAAAGAAAAAGTTGATCCGGTGTCTACTGTCACCAATAGTTCTGGTTTGTTACCCACTCCACCTGATTCACAAAACATAAGCACATCCAACACTTCTCATCCAATTGATGCTTATAATGGCGTTCAAGACACCACTACACATCCTTCTCCATCTCGTCCAACACAGCCCCCTAGGCACATCCAACATCAAGGTCGACAACCTCACTATCAATATGATGCACCCTAACACAACCACATAGATGATCCTTCTAGGAAAATCAAGTTGGATGCTACAGAATTTGATGGTAGGTTAGATTCCACTGTTTTTTTAGATTGGTTGGATAAGATGGATAAGTATTTTGATTGGTACCACATGAATGATGATCAACGCCTTAGTATGGCTAGGATTAAGTTAGTGGGTAGTGCCAAATGTTTTTGGAAAACAGTCATGCAAGATGTTGAGCTTAGAGGTCGTGCACAAGTTTTGTCGTGGGATGACATGAGATATATTTTGCGACACAAGTATGTCCCGCTGTACTACATGAGTGATCTTTTGTCCTAGTTCCAAAATCTGAGACAAAATACTTCCACTGTTCATGACTATATGTCAAAGTTTGAAGATATACTGTGACGATGTCAAGTTGATGAAGATCAACGAGTTCTAGTTACTAGGTTCACAAATGGTTTAAGAGCTGACATTAGGCGTAAAGTTCAAGTCCACAATCTTTTTGACATAGACTCCGCTTATCCAAAAGACTTAGATTATGAAAAGTACCCTCGCTATGTTCTTAGGCGTCCTTCATCCACTATGGATACCCGTCTCAACCGCCCTTCCACTCTTCCTTCGCCTAACCCTAATACCCAACCTTCTAGGAGTGACAATTCGTGTCACGTGTCGTGTTTTGATCGTTTCTTTCTAAATTTACAGTCAACCCGAACACGACCCGTGACACGAATTTTTTTAAAACCGCAACACGAACACGACACGACCACTTTACGGGTTGACACGACACGATACGAAAATTACTTGTGACACGAAATTGACCCGTGAACTCGAAATTGACACGAAAATTGTATACTTTTATTTAGTTTTTTACATATTAGAAATAACTTAAAATTCATAACACACTAAAATACAATAACATCTATTGAAATTAAGCAAATAATAGTCTAAGATGTTGAGTATAACTATTATGATATCACAAGTTCATAATAAAATCAAAAATATGTAATAAAAAATATATGTATTTTTCAGTTTTTTACGAGTTTCCAGTCGTGTTCGGGTTAGGTGGGTCCAACCCGAAATTGACCTGTGTTTTTCGTGACAATTTTAGGTCGACCCAATTCTGACCCGAACCTCTTTTTTCTCAACTCTAACCCGCAAAATTCGTGTCGTTTTCGAGTCGTGTTGTCGTGTCGTGACCCATATTGCCTGCCCTACAGCCTTCCACCAAACCGCCACCATCAGGGTCTAGAGCTCCATCCACTAATATGGTTAAGAACACACCTGCTACTGCCTCTAGCTCTCGCACTTTTTCCTCCCAAATTGAGTGTCACCATTGTCATGCTATAGGTCACATAGGCGTCCTTCATCCACTATGGATACCCATCCCAACCGCCCTTCCACTCTTCCTTCGCCTAACCCTAATACCCAGCCTTCCACCAAACTGCTACCATCAGGGTCTAGCTCCATCCACTAATCTAGTTAAGAACACACCTGCTACTGCCTCTAGCTCTCACACTTTTTCCTCCCAAATTGAGTGTTACCATTGTCATGCTAAAGGTCACATAGCCAGTCGTTGTCCAAACTGTACTCTAGTTCTTGACCATGAGGATGAACCCCCATTAGAGGATGATAATAACCTTTTCATAGTTGACCACCTAGAGCCTGATTATGAGGACCCTACTGTTATATGAGGATGAATTCCCACTTGATGAAGAGTACTTCTCTGTCATGAGATGCATTTTGTCCACTCCTGCTAATGTAATTCTTGGAAACGCACTAGCATTTTTCACACTTTCGTTCCTATTAATGGGAAAACGTGTAAGCTAGTCATAGATGGGGTAGTTCTATGAATGTGATTTCTAAGTCTGATGTTGAAAATTTTGGTCTTAAGTCAGAACCACATTCTCGTCCGTTTCAGGTAGCCTGGGTAAATAAGACTTCTTCACCCGTTAGAGAACGTTGTCTAGTCACACTTAAGCTTGGACCATACTCTGAAAATATCTAGTGTGAAGGTTTACCTATGAATGTGTCCCACCTTCCTTTAGGTTGCCCTTTGGTTATATGATAATGCTGTGAAACATTGCGGCCGTAGTAATACCTACAGGTTCACGTGTGGTAAGAAGGAATCGCCTTGGAGATGAATGGAAAACTACTTTTAAGACTCAAGATGGACTTTATGAATGGTTAGTCATGCCTTTTGGATTGTCCAATGCCCCTAGTACTGATGCTTCTCATGTTGCTAAGTTATTCTTTAAGGAGATTGTTAGGCTACATGATGCTTCTCATGTTGCTAAGTTATTCTTTAAGGAGATTGTTAGGCTACATGGCCTTCCAAAAACCATTGTGTCTGATAGGGATGTGAAGTTTGTTAGTTATTTTTAGAAGACTCTCTGGCAATTGTTTGGGACTACTTTTAAGGTATTCTTCTGTTTTTCACCCACAAACTGATGGTCAAACTGAAGTCGTTAACCGTAGTATAGGTGATTTGCTTCGATGCTTAGTTGGAGAAGAACCTGGGAATTGAAATCTAATTTTGCCACAAGCTGCATTTGCCTATAATAACTCTGTCAATAGATCCATAGGTAAAAGTCCTTTTGAGATTGTCTATGGCCTCCTCCCATGCCAACCTGTTGACCTTATTCCTTTGCCTACTCATTACCCTCATTCTGATTATGCCCAAGCTTTTGTTGATCACATCCATAACTTGCATACTGAGATTAGACGAAAAATTATTTTGAGTAATGATAAATATAAACTTGCTGCTGACACACATCGTAGTTATAAAGAATTTAATGAAGGTTATTATGTCATGGTTCGCATTAATCCTGAGCGTTATCCAAAACATGCTGTTAAAAAGTTACATGCCCAAACTATTGGCCCTTTTCCTATCCTTCGTAGGCTTGGATCTAATGCTCATTACCCTCTAGTTTTCAATGTTGCAGATTTGTTCCCTTACCGAGGCACTTTTGAGCCTCCAGTTTTGCCTTCTTTTGATTCTGTAGGTACATCTTCCACACAGGTTCCTCATGCTCTTCCTACTCCTTTAGATCCGCCTGAGGTTATTCTTGATGTTCTTGACAATGAGTTTGTTACTTCACCTGCTGGTGGTTTTCGTCCTTTCTTTGTTCGTTAGAAAGATCGTCCTTCGACTGATGATACTTGGATAACTGAAGAAGAGTTCCGTCAACTTGTTCCTGACCTCTTGAACAGCTACTTGCAATCTAACTTGTCGGAGTCGAGTTCTATTCAACAGGGGGAAATGATGGAAATCATAATACTAGTTTCCGTTATTATGTCATGCGCAAATATAGAAACTAGGATATTATTTTATTTTCTTTCTTTATTATATTTAGTTTTTGGTAACTCTAATATTTCTTAAGTTAGTTTCCTACTGTCTTTTGTTTCCTTATTGTACTTAGTTTCTTAATTGCGTTTAGTTTTCCTAGTAGTGTTTGAATTGCCTATCTATAAATAGGCCTAGTATTGTTCATTGTTTTTCAGAACTTATTGATTGATAATACAGATATTCAGTTTTCCTCTCTCTAAAGTTCTTCTCTTTCTCTCTCTAAATTCTCCTCTTCTTCTACCTTTCTTCTTCTTCTTCTTCTTCTTCTTCTTCTCTCTTTTTACCCTACTCAGTCCTACATCAAATAATACCGAGACGAAGACTAAAATTGGGAGGAGAAAAGCTTCTTCTTCTCTCTTTTTACCCTACTCAGTCCTACATCAAATAATACCGAGACGAAGACTAAAATTGGGAGGAGAAAAGATTAACAGACAAACAGAACATACAGGCAGCGTTGTCAGTAGGCAATCCACATAAGTCGCTTCAGTTAGTAAACTCAGAGGCTCAGCATCAAGGATATTGGATTTGAGATTAACAATTGGAACTGAACAATCCTGTTCTGCTAATTCTTCAGAGGCCTCGTCCTCAGTAGCAACGTGGGTGCACTGTGTATCGGTGTTGGTAATTGAACAACTTGAGATAAAAGCATCAAATCTGGTGCACAGAGAAGGGAAAAGCAAAATTCAAATTAGTTAGTTGACTAAAGTTAAACACAGTTAAAAGTATTTTGATATTCAATTAATCGAATTTAATTTTTTGGCCTTTTATAGTTGTTGAGGCGATTGGAGCTTAAATATTTTATGTGACGTGTGTGTTTTTATTTATATGGTAAAATTTGTGGGCTGAAAATGAAGAACCTAACTCAATCAAGCAAATACTGCTAATAGCTAACAAACAGCAGATATTCTCACGGGAGTAGTCATAAGTTAGAAGATAGTTGTACCAAAGCCAGTCCAATTGAGGTCCCAATGATAATAAACAACCAAGATTCATAGTCTCCTCCGTTTGGTGTCGGAGAAGACAAAGTACAACATAAGGAAAATTTATTTAAGCTTTAAAAGAACTCAAAAAGCAAAAACAAATACAATGGAATCTAAATCCTGCTCTGCAAAATCAGCCACTTCTGCTCCGCAGGCCATTATATAACTCCCGACAGAAGATTAAGGAATGTAAAATTTATGGGGGGAAAATAAACTGATAATTGAATTTTGCACAATCAGGACACTACGAAAACTAAGGAAATGAAATTTGGTAGGCTTCTAATTTTTCCACCGAATGAACATAATTCAACTCGACTAATCAAAGTAATTCGTCGGATTTTTTTTTTTTTCAAAGAAGGCCCAACACTGAAGAATCTTGAAATTTCCAATTTTTTCATTTTCCACAATCTCTTAAAAGCAAACAGAACATACTGCAATGTAACCTTCGGCGAGGGAAAAAATTTGCTACTTTTTATGATTTTTCCACCAAAAGAACAGAATTTAAGAACACTGAACACAGAGAGAGAAGAAGAAGAATCCAAAAAAAATCCAAAAATTATTTCTCATTTTCTCCCAATTTCCTAGCAATCAAACAGAGTTAAAAATAAAAATAAAAAACCAACAACAACAATTAACAAATTAATCAATCAATCAATTCTTCTCATTTCTCCCAATCTCCAGGCAATCAAACAGAGCAAAGAAACCGAAAAAAGTACAAAATTAACTAATCAATTAATTAAAAAAACGCGACGTACCGATGAGAAGCAAGAGAAAGGCGATTGGAACTCAACCATCGAAGAGAAGCGAAGCGATAGCGAACTCGAGAAGAATACCGCGGCCCTGGAAAAACCGAAGCTTTCTCAGCGGAGAAACCGAGAGAAACCGACTGCGAAAGAGGGACCGTACATCCACAACCCATAGCTGCCATAGCCATTGCTTCAAGCTCCAAAACTTGAAGAAGAAGAACCCGCGAGGTTCTAAGCCACTCATGCAGCCTCCGACGCTTGTGATCAGCTAAAGCTTCCTAGATTCAGCGCTCATCACAGGAAATGAGACGAGAATTTCGGCAATGGCGGATTAGGTTATGTGATTTTTAATTTTGATTTTATTACAGGTGAGGAAGTTGAGAGAAAGCCTTTGCCTTATCTTTGTGAGTTTTCTGAGTTGGCCGTTGCAGGCGGGACTATTAAAAGAGTATTTGTTCGTTCTAGCACTGGTGGGGTGCGTTTGGGCGCACGCGAACTTATCGTGTGGCTATTAAGGACTTGTTCTTTTAGAGTTTAACTTAAGTATAATTTTTGAGTTAAATTTGAGTTATAACTTGAGTTAAACTTATAACTTCCCATATCGAATCTCGAACTTTGGTTTTTCCCAGAATTTTTGATACTTTATACTTCGTATAAGATTAAACCATGGTACATACCAATCAAATTTCTCCTTTTAAATCTTAATGTAAATGAAAATGCCAGTGGAAATAAAAATAAAAAAACGACTGGAAAGAAAAAAAGAGATATCTTTATATCAATATTTTCAAATGAAAAAAAATATCTTGAATTAGAAAAACAAAATCAAGTAGAAAAAGAATGCGGAATCAAAACAGATTTTGAATCAACTCTCTCAAATCAAGAAAAAGATATTGAAGAAAATTATGCGGTATCAAAGATGAAAAAAAATAAAAAACAATCCAGGACCAACATGGAAGCGGAGTTTGATTTCTTACTAAAAAGGTATTTGCTTTTTCAATTGAGATGGGACGATTCTTTAAATAAAAAAATGATCGATAACATCAAAGTATATTGTTCCCTGCTTAGACCGATAAACCTAAGAGAAATTACTATAGCCTCTATTCAAAGGGGAGAAATAAATCTGGATCTTCTAATGATTCAGAAAAATTTCATTCTTACAGAATTGATTAAAAAGGGAATATTACTTATTGAACCAGTTCGTCTGTCTAGAAAAAATGAAGGACAATTTATTATGTATCAAACTATAGGTATTTCGTTGGTTCATAAAAGTAAACACACAATTAATCAAAGGTATCGAGAAAAGGGCCATGTTGATACGAAGAATTTTGATGAATTCATTTCAAAACATCAAAAGATGACTGAAAATCGAGACAAAAATCATTATGATTTGTTTGTTCCTGAAACTATTTTATCCCCTAGACATCGTAGAGAATTGAGAATTCTAATTTGTTTCAATTCTAGGAATAGAAATGGTATACCTAGCAATGCATTTTTTTGTAATGAAAATAAGGTAAAGAGTCCGGTTTTGAATAAAAGCAAAATAAATCAAAATAATATAATTAGATTAAAGTTCTTTCTTTGGCCTAATTATCGATTAGAAGATTTCGCTTGTATGAATCGCTATTGGTTTGATACCAATAATGGCAGTCGTTTCAGTATGGTAAGGATACATATGTATCCGCAATTTAAAAATGAACTTAAGCGTGTACTGAAAAAAAGTGAAATACGGATTGATTTTATTTCCCGTACTATATTGCATATATGAAGACAAATAGATGCACACCTATATTGTTTTCTATTCCATTATGATACACGATACTAATTTAATGACATATCAATATCTAGAAATAATGCAAAAATCTTCTTAGTTTATTTTTAAATTTTAGATATAATTTTTTATCTTTTGTGAGTGCAGACAACTATCTTTTTGTTTACCTATTCGAATACAATTTTCAAATTGGAAATTATTCACAAAATTAAGATTATTCACAAAATTAAGATTATTGTATTGTGTATGCCAAATAAAAAAAAAAAAATGAATAACATTATTATTATTGATCAATAAAAAAATCTAGCAAAGCAATAAGGGCCGGTGGGGGGGAAGATTTCATTTTATGATAAAAAAGTCATTCATCTCGGTTATTTCACACGAAGAAAAAGAAAAAAACAGGGGGTCTGTTACATTTCAAATACTAAGCCTCACTAATAGGATACGAAAACTTTCTTCACATTTGGAATTGCACAGAAAAGACTATTTATCTCAGAGAGGCCTCCGTAAAATTTTGGGAAAACGCCAAAGGATGCTGTCTTATTTGTCAAAGAACAATAGAATACGTTATAAAGAATTAATTAATCAGTTAGATATTCGGGAATCAAAAATGCGTTAATTTGAATTTGAGGAAGCGTTTTGAATTATTGAATTATTTGATTTATTAGATCTTGATTTTTTTTTATTTTAATGAACTTATTTTCGCTTTTCAGTAATTCATGAAAGAATCAATCGAGGAAAAAGAAAAACCTATGAATATACCAGCTCCAAGAAAAGACCTCATGATAGTAAATATGGGTCCCCACCACCCATCAATGCATGGTGTTCTTCGACTCATCGTTACTCTCGATGGTGAAGATGTTATTGACTGTGAACCAATATTAGGCTATTTACACCGAGGAATGGAAAAAATTGCGGAAAACCGAACAATTATACAATATCTGCCTTATGTAACGCGTTGGGATTATTTAGCTACTATGTTCACAGAAGCAATAACCATAAATGGACCGGAGTTGTTGGGAAATATCCAAGTGCCTAAAAGAGCCAGCTATATCAGAGCAATTATGTTGGAGTTGAGCCGTATAGCTTCTCATCTCGGCCTCTAAAGGCCCCGTTTGGCTGAAAGCCGTAGCTGTTGTTTTTCTTGAAACTGTTTTAGTCAAAAACTGTGCCGTTTCGGGAATCTGTGTTTTAGTACCTCTTAGGGTCGGATTTTGAAAATCTTTTCTTCATCAAATTTCTTCATCTCGTCGAAATATAAAATTGTCACTTTTGTGAAAAATCGAGATTCAGCTTCTAAGGGTCCCGTTTGGCTGAACCAGTGGCTGCCAGTTTTTTTTTCGAAACTGTGTTGGACAGCTTGTCCGTTTTTGCCAAATGGCTTCAAACTTGGTTTTAGAGTTAAAATTAGGTTTTGTCATAGTAACCGAAAATGTTCAAAACATCCAGGGCTATAAGTTCAAGCTTTAAAACATTGAAAAATCTCGCTCTATGGTCCTCATTTTTCGCGGTCAAAGTCACCGGAAAATTTTTCCTCTAATTTGAAAATAAGCAACTTAGATTAAGCATAAACATACCACATCAAACTAACCTCAAAACTCACAAAACCAACATAAAACTCACACACCCTTATTACAATCTTATCTCTTCAAGAACCACAAATTTACATCCATAAATCCAAGCTTAAAGTTGGCTAGAAATTAATGGAGGGGAGTTTAAGAACTTACCCTTGAAGAATTCTCTCTTTCTCTTGAAAAACCCTTGAACTCCTCTAGGATTGTTAATGGCTTGAAACTATAAGAGTATAAGGAAATTTGAGAAGAATATTTCTCTATTTCAAACTTTCCCAAAACATGAAAAAGAGAGGATTTAGAGTTTCTTTACCCTTAGAGGAATGCTTGACTAGTCTCCTCCTAGAATCCCTTAATCTCCTTCTTCTTCTTCTATGGTGTGCTAGTGGCTCAAGATTTGGAGAGTGGGAGAAAATATTTGAGAGGAAATGGAGAGTGTGTGGCCGGATTTTTGAGTGGGGAAAAAGCTAGGAGAAAAAAAATGAAGCTTATCCTATGTTGGTTCCTTTTATAGGCAACTTGGAAACTATTTTTTTTAACACCAATTCCACTCCATCATTCAACCAAATTTTTGGTTAAAGTCCCCCTTTCTTGGCCAGTTTTGGAAGGAGAAAAGGAGATGCAAATTTGCCATTAATTCCCTTTCAACCACTACAATCACATCACCTTAACATGTCATCCACTTGCACACTCAACTAGCTAATTTTGGCTCTATTTTTTTTTTGCATGGCCGGTGGTGTGCTTCAAGAAGGAAGTGTGGTAAGCATTTATGTCCAATAGTTGATTTGACACAATCCCATCACACCTTATCATGTAATCCCCTAGCACACTCAACTAGCCAATTTTGGCTCTAATTTTTCTATGCATGGTCGGCCAAAGTGGAGAAGGAGAGAGAGAAAAATAAATCCTACCCCTTGTACTTTAGTCCACTCTCTTAAGTTACATTTGAATCAGGTAAAAATCATACTGACTGTAAAGGGTACTTAGCTGACAGGAAATTCTTGTTTCTGACAGTTCTCTTTTTTTTCTACTACTTATTTACAGTTCAACTTTTAAATCCTCGTCTGCTTTGATATCACGTTAAATTCTTACTCGCGTAATATCTTAAACTGTTTCAAGTCTTGAAATTAATTCTAGACTGAATAAATTCTAAATTTAACTTTTCTGCATTATATCCCGGGAGTGACATTATTTCTGACGGTGTCAACTCCTTAGCTCACATTGTACCCTTCTACTATAGGTATCTATCTTGTGACTTTAACCTAGCTGTCTGGCAATTAAGGATTTTCTCTTCTTTAAAAATGTCAGTGCGTTTTTTTTTACGCTGCTAACATCATGCTGTGTTTGGAGATTCTTGAAATTAAGATTCTCAAACTATACTTGTACTGAAAATTATTCCGCCTTAAAGTACGGTAAGAATTTATCGATCGAATTTACTTGATTGAAAACATGAACTTAACATGAAATCTACTACAGAATTTAGGAATACATATATTGATTCCATAAATCCTTCAGTCACATAATATTTTCTAGGAAAATCCTTGGCTTAAATAAATAAATTGTATTATTTAAAGTCTGGAATTTTCTCAGTCATTACACTATTACTATTGGGTGTGTTACTATTGGCTTACTACTATTCATTGGTATGTTACTATTGGGCTTGTTAAAAAAACTTCAAAATTTCTATTCTTATACATGCCCTTTTAAGTTTTTGATTTCTTCATCGTACTCCTTGAATTTTACTTATCGATAGTAAATTTGTACTAAACTTCATCAAGCCATCTCAACCCTTAATTATTTATTCACATAAGGCCCTTTTTTCTTGAAACTAACCCCCGGGCTTCAGAATTGAAATTCAACTTCACCATTAAATCTCTAATATTCCTTAATGTATTCTCCATAATTTTGAATATCGATTGATATTTTTAATGATATTTTTCTCAAAATATTAATTAAGAGTAAAATCGTCTAAATACTATTCTAACAGTTATTCCAACTGTACTGATTATAACGGCTAAGGACAAAATCGTCCAATCACTATTCCAACGATTCATAACGGCTAAGGGCAAAATCATCCGGTCACTATTCTAACAGTCATAAACGGCTAGTTTTTACCTTATAAATAATTGAGTTTTCTAACCTTTATGTTCACCCACAAATTTCACTATTTAAAAATGTTCTTCAACCATCTCCTTCTTCTTAATTTTTATAATGATAGTTTCTTAATAGCTATTAACTTTATTATGTTAGCTTTTTTCGTCTTCTTATTTATAGTTGTAATTATGTGTCACTACGACGCTAGAGCATAGGATCGACATGTACGAAAACATTGAGTTGTACGGGAACATCAAGATTAGCTTTTGTATTGTACTTTATTATAATTTCCTCATTATAAAAGTGCTTTATTTATTAAAATATAAAGCGGGATGTTACATCTTTCTTGAGTTTTCTCAATACTTCTCTCACGGAGCTACCTGTGCGGGTTCACAGAGCAGTCTCGCTTTCTCTACCACAGCCTTATCCACCATATGAGTCACTTCTCTTCTCTAAAAATGCCTTATCCAACCCAAGTCACTTCTCCATCGACTACTTGATTACTCGTCCCACCGACTTCAGTTTACGTGATTCTCTTCTTGTTATTTGTGGACTTTCTAACATCTCTTGCAGGATACTTTTCTCATTTCGTCAACAAAGAGGGCCTAGAATCCATTTTCTTCGGCCTAATTCGGGCCTAGCCAACCTCATCATCTTCGTTGGAGGTCCTGCCACCGTGTCTACCTCAAGAAGCACCAAGTGTTTCACCCACGTAGGAGCTTCACCAGCCAATCGGATACGTCCACGCGTACACCCTTGCCACACGGTACCCACCTAATCAACCGGACCCCAACAATAGCTTTGTAATTCAACTTATTAATAGCCATAGATTTGGTCTTTAAAAAAAAGGTAGCTTTGCAATTTTTATAAAAAAAAATAGCCACCTTTTCAACAATGCGGAAAAGCTAGGGAGTTGGAATAAAGAGTTGTGAAATTTGTATTTTGTTTTTCCTCATATTACTAAAGTAAAAATTTTTGGCTATCGTGGGAGTTTATCAATCCAGCCATCTTGATCAATGAAGGATGATCTTGAATACTCCTGTAGAATCTGCTGAATATCGCCAGGCTTCTTTTCCCATGCAACACGCTCGGAAATGTTCAATCCTGCTCCTTTACACTCGATCTCTGCATAAGTAAGCGTCGACCTGAAAGGTAGATTTCCATTCATATCCAGTCAGTATACAAAAAATTAGATGGAACACCCCAAAAAAAAAAATTATGAAGATTCAAAAATATGCACATGGTGACTAACGATATGTTTTTATTTCCTATATCTTAGGGCGAGCATAATTACAAGCAATGCTAATGCATAAAGTGTTCAACACCACATACTAATATAAATACTCAACACCACATACTAATAGAAATACTCATAGTATGAGTATGAAACCTACTTCTATTAGTTCCAAGTAAAAAGCCTTACTCCTATAAGCAAGAGTAATGCTAAGAGACACTTTACACGACATCATACATTAAATAAAAATAGATCTCATATAATAGGATATAAATGTATAACCCAATTGTGGTCTTATATTATAAATACGAAAAGATATTAATAGACACTATACTCAACACCATCCAGTAATAGAAAATAAATTCCATAGCATATAATATTCGTACATAAGGTTCATTTTTTTATTAGTTATGGTGTTTGGCTGTTTTTCCGAGCAATTTTCTATAATTATTAATTTTGTTTTGGTCAAATTAAGTAGTACTTACTCTTGGCCTTTGTAAGACCACGCATCCCATCCTTGAGGGGCAACAACTTGACCTAAATCGGTGCCATGGAATATTACTCTTGAATAAGCTCCATAAGCTCTCCCCAACAAAACTCGGCCACTCCCAGAAACTGAGCCTCCTTCGAATACGAACCCACCAGGATCATTGGCTGATGCTCGTCCCTGTGCTGTAATGAATCCTACGGCAATCTCCGTAGGTGGTCGTGTCCCAACCGTCACATTTATCAATGAGTTCTGCGTATACAATATGATATCATGGTCACATTATAATATATTCTGAATTATATTGTAACAACACTGATCTTGTATAACTCAAATCCATGAAATAAATTTGAACAAGTAGTACATTATTTAATTTAGTAAGACTAAGAACACCAGCTCAAATTCTAATTTTTTCACCAACTTACATATAATGAATTATAAAGTGACAATTTTTTAAACATTTACTAACAAAAAAAATGACAAATTAAAATTAGTGTTACTAGTATTATTTATTTAATTTAGTACTCATGATATAATTGTACGAATAAGTTATTATTTACCTCATAATAAGACTGGGCAAAACCGAAAATGAAATCTATGGCACCTTCAAAGTAGCAATTGCTGAAATAATGTCGGCCTGTTGCATCCCACAAAGTATCTTGAAAGCCTATGAACCCACATTCAATAAATGCGGATTTGTCACCATATATTCTTGCTGCCAACGCCTGTTTTACATGGCTTCAAGCACTAATTCCAATGTCGTTGATATCTGAAGGACCCAGTGCACGATTACAGGAGTTCTGCAACAATATTCATTAGAGATTATGATATATAGATCAATACTCGGAATACCAATATATATAATCAACTTATAATATAAAGCAAAATTCATTAAACACAAGATAAATATTTAATTAGTGTATATATATGATCATTGAAAATTCGTACATATATGAATGAGTTTTCAATAATTATGTTTTTATCGATAGTCACTTATTAAATATAACAATTTGATGATACGTATATTTAGACCTTGAATGAAATGCCTTTCGCAACCACATTATCTGGGCTGGACGAGAATGTAGCGCTGGTATCTGTTCTTTCATGGTCAAAAAACGTAACAATTGTCTTCTCACGACCTAGTCCTTGAAGAAAAATATATGATTTGTCTGGTGGAATAGTTACCTTCTCTCTGTCAGATAAATTCATCAAAAATCAAATAAGATGATCATATAAAAGAACATGAAATACAATGGCAATTAAAAGAGTGCAATTAACATACATAACGCATATTAAAAATTTCACTTGTAAGGGTCGATTATAAAGCAAAATTATAAGTATTGCTCGTGCATAATTATTCTTTACTTTTTTTCCCTTCGCTATAACTAAGTGACGTTATTAGACTAAGTACTAATACGGTTCATCAAGTAATGCATGTAAAGCTATAGTGCTACGTACGTGTATATGCCTCGAGAAATTTTTATTTTTATCCAGTCATGGTTGCCGGAAGGTATGGAATCTATGGCTGCCTGTATAGTTTTGAACTTTCCGCTGCCATTCTGATCGACGGTAATAATTGCAGATGCTACGTCGGAATTATTGACATTTTCGCTTCTACCACGGCGATCAGCATTAATGTTAATGTTTCTGAAAGCTACCGAAGAGTTGGCGATATTGAATAGTATGAAAACGAAAAGAAAAGGCGGAAGAAACTGCATTTTGGTTTGAGAGTGTCTGTTATGATCAGTTTGGAACTGAGGCTTTCGCTAGGACACAATGGTCTAAATATGAAACTATAGGAATAGTGTATGTGTATATATGTATACTATTGGCGTTTGCTTTGTTGCCTCATTAATTCGGATTCTTCATCCATTTTTAGAAATTTCCATTTTGTTTTTGTGAGAAAAGGTGCACAAAGATCTAGCATGTTACCTATTTACTGTTTTACTAAGAAGCATTAATATCTATCGATACTTAATGAAGGTATCTTTTTCCATAAAAAAAAAAAAAACGGAATCTTTTTTTTTCTTTTTAACCGTCATATGCTAATATGCTATATAATCATGAAGTCTGGTGTAGGTATACTACTTCTTTTGTAAAAAAGGAAAAAAAAAAAATGATATGTTAAAAGTTTATTTCTAGAAAGAGGGCGGGTGACCCGAACATATTGGGAAAGAAGAATCTAAATTGTCCTTTCCTTATAATAAAAAAAGTCGAAGAATCCTATTGGGATCCGGAAATCACGTGCCCATATTGTGAGGAAACTGCCTAGATCCGAAAAATATCAAATTCACAAAAAAGGGTTCTTACCCAAAATATATGTTATGAATAGTTGTTGTCCAGTTCAGTTTATGTAAGTCAATTGAAATTATTATGTAAGTTAAAATTATTGTTCATGTCAAAAATTTATTGTGCAATAATAACTATAAATAGTAAGTACTGTATAAATAATAACCGTAAATTGTGCCAAAAATTTTCTTATAAATAAAGTTTTAAGACTCTTCATTTTGTACACCTTTACAAGATTAATGAAATTCTCTCTATAGTTTCTCTCTCTAAAGTTTTCTTAGTTTTGCATTTTCTTAGTTTTCATAACACGTTATCAACACGAACGTTCTATTCCTACTACGATTGTTTACATTCATTAATTTAAAGAAATGAGGCTTTGATCCAATTACAAACATCTACCTTAAAGTAAAAAAAAAGTAGGTCCTAGCTCTTGTCCTACTACAAGTTTCAACCCTTATTAATTCAAGTGAAAGGTATGCAAATGCACTCTATTATATTATATTCATATAAAGGAAGGTTATGCCCCAAACGTATTATAATTTTTATAATTTCATAGGTATACACCATTTGAAAGGTTTACACAGTAGTTTGGTGTGTTTGTATTCTCATAAATGAACGGCTATGCCGTCTGCAGGTAGTAATTTCTCATTACACTTTCTGCATGCATATTACTATTCTCGTCTGTTTATTTTTCTACATCATTTGAGATATACAATTATAATTCTTATTCCACTTTTAACGGTAATATGACAGATTTTTACACCGCTATTAACTGCTATAAACGACTAGTTTTTACTCTACAAAATGTGGATTTCTTTACCCATACAATTCACTTATCATCTTCTCTTCACTCTTCTTAATATTTTTATCTTTCACTTCTCATATTCTCTTCACTATTCTTAATATAATATACACGATATGGCGAATATGATGATGATGTTTGTTATTTTAGTAGCATTTTCTATATTGTTGCTCTTTTTATTGGAGATCATTCTCTACACGATTTTCATTTTTCCTTGCAATACTCATACTTGTAATATTTCCCCTTTTATTTATTGCTATTATGATTAACATGTAATTTTAATTATACACTCTATTGTAATAATACTACTGTGATTCTTATTATATCGATGTTCTGTTATAATTATCACCATATCGAATATTGCTAAACTTAAGTTCGTTGCACTCGATATTACGGGAAAGAATTATATGTTTTGGATCATAAATGTAAAAATGCATCTAGAGTCAATGGGTCTAACTAATACCATTAAAGAAAATAATAACAAGTCACCACAAGAAAAGACGAAAGCAATGATTTTCCTTCGTAAACATCTTGATGAAGGCTTGAAATGCGAATATCTCACGCTTAAAGATCTACTTGTCCTCTAGAAAAATCTGAAGGAGAAATACGACCACCAGAAAGAAGTCGTACTCCCCGCCACTCGTGATGAATGAAACAATTTACGTTTCTAAAATTTTAAGAAAGTCAACGACTACAACTCTGCCATGTTTAGAATTGTTTCACAACTGAAATTTTGTGGAGTAAATATCACAGATGGTGAAATGCTAGAGAAAGCCTACTCCACTTTCCATGCATCTCACATTACCTTGCAACAACAATACCATTTGCGCGGTTATAAGACTGAGCTAATCTCAGCTCTTCTTGTCGCAGAGAAAAATAATGAATTGTTAATTAAAAATCATCAGTCTCGTCCCACTAGTTAAACTGCATTTCCTGAAGCAAATGTTGCATTATCTATAAAATTTTAGGACGAGAAAATATAATTGTGGTCATGGTCGTGGCCGTAGTCAAGAACACGGTAGAAGTGGTTATTACAACCCTTCAAAGAATGATATGATCCAAAAGAAATATCATGATAAATGAGAAGATGTTAATGGAAGTTCTTTCCGGAATCCTGAAAGTTTTTACTGTATATGTGATACTAAAGAATAACTAACATCGAATTTGTCAAGCACCATAATACTTTTATAAAATTCTTAAGGCATCTCAAAATATTTGGAAGTTCAGCTGATACAATGCTATCAAAGGCTTCTAGGTGGGTAATTTTTGAATAAGTACTTTTTAAAATTATTTAAAAATGAGCATGTGAAGACATCTTTTTTGGAATTCAATCACATATACATATGCTACTACAGGGCCAAAAACTTGTTTCTTCAATAATTCAACTCTCCTAGTTTTGCTTTAAATATACAAGATAGTAAATCAGGTCTACTTTGGGCTTCTTTGTTCAATTGTAATTTTTCTTTGATTTCAAGCCAATTGGGATTACATGCAAAAGTTAAATATATATGAGGTTTTTCAAATCGTTGTACTAATGTCATAGCATCCATATATCTCTTGCGCATATCTCTAGAACCACCAATAAAGGAAGCTGGTAAAATAACTGTTTTTCCAACCTTTGAACCTTCAGTTTCTCCAAGTTTAATTCCATCAATAATTCCTTTGTACAATTCTGAAGGAATTTCAAGCAAAACAAAAAAAAAAAAAAAATCTGAACGAATTTCATTTTGGTTGATTTTAAATAATCTAGTCTGTGAGTTTCAATTTTTGCATACATATCTACGACATATTTGACTTGTAAATGTGTCACTTACCCTTTCTAGACAACGGATTAGGATTTTTGCCTTTGATAAGCAGTGTAACGCAACAAACACTTCATACCATTTCGGTTGTGGTAAAGGGATAGCTGCTCCCAATCATGTGATGGTGATCAATTTATCAAAACAGCGACCCATCTCAAGGTTGTGGATAAACTTCATGTTTGGAACATCTTTTTCGTTGTCACTTGTCATAAAGTCAAATTAAGGCTTATTGTGAAATTTCTGTGGTTTTTTTTTTGGATCTGAAATTTCTGTGGTTGGTTGTGAGTGTGAGAAGGAAATGAGCTAAATAACTTTATTCTCACCGTCATTGTTGTATTATAATGCAACACAATGCTTTAGAAAACTTGTTAGGCATGATTGTGCCATGAAACAGCATAATATAACAGACTGCCCCATTATACTATGGAGTAGCACAAGTCTTTCACATAGCTATTCTGGTAATATGAAGTATTTGATATTACTAATTTAATGCTCACCTGCATAAGTTCTAAAAGGCAATATTACATCTAATCCTACAATACCACATCCCATGACATTATTCCTTAAATTTTTTTTTTTTGAATGCGATTATTCCCTGAATTTTATTCCGCCCATTATATAGAAAAATGCCCCAAAACAGATATCTTTCTTTATATCGAAATTAACTTATTGATATCCGTTAATAACCGATTAATGAAGTAAACTGGTGAGTGATCATCAAAATTGACTCAATCAATTAAGTTACCCGTTTTTCATAAGAGGAACATTTCTTTCAATTTAAAAGATTTGTGGAGATTCACTAAAACTAAACTTTAAAAATAGTTCAATTTTTGCACATATTCCATTTTTCTTTTTCCGTTTCTTTTGGCAAAACGTTGACTTCTTGCATTAATACGAATTATTGCAAGCTGAGCGGAAAGAAATCAATAGGGTAATTGAAATCAAAATAAAATGTAATAAACGAAATACCCAAATGGAATTAATGCCCATTTGATTTGGGATTTTCTTTTTTTTTTCTTTTTTTTGCTCTGACCATTTGATTTTGGATTGAATGCGTGCCTCCTATCTTCTGCTATAAATTTGCAAGCCCTATGGCATAAACCTTCATCCCTGGAGTTATTTGCAAATCTCACACGTAAAATAAACGAGATGGCCAAAACCAGAGTTTTTTCACTTTTTCTCGTTCTGTTTCTCATATTGTTCTGCATAGGTTTGTCCTAATTCCTTACACTTCTTTTTTCCTTTTATCATTTTAATTATCACAATTATTTTTTATGGTGTAGCTTATTATTAAGTACTCATTTTTGCATGCCACTTTTCATAGTATTTACAAACATGCATGTTTCAGTTGAATCTCAATAAAATTCACGTAGTTTTGTAATTGGTTGTGATGCATTTTACAATATTTGACTTCAAACCATTTTGGTTTATAACAAAGCGATGACCAAAATTTACAATACAATATTTTTATTTATTTATTAATTTATTTTTGTTTTTTTGTGACTCGGGACGTAAAGAGGCGACATGCGCTAAGGAGACGCGCCCGGTATGTTGTAGTGGGAAATATTATGATCATTATTTATGTAACGAGGGACGCGATGACCCCGATTGCTTTAATTTCTGCGTACCATACTGCACCAACGGAGGCATTTGCAAACGTGAGGGATCTAAAACTTTTTGCCATTGTGCATGTTGATGATCCACATGATTTGATTGTTTGATTTGGAGTTAGCATAGAAGTGGGAGCTTTTAATATTAGGGACAAATAAGTGAGAACGAACATAAAGTTGTAGACACGTATAATAATAATAATAATAATAATAAT